TCTGACAAAACAGTTTAGAGAGCAATCAGTCTAAAAGACACAGCGGAGATAACTATTCAAGGAAAAGAGTACACTTACTGGGCTAGCTTTCTATATTCTCAAGAAGCCTCAATGAGGACTTGGGTATGAAGTCAATGGAATTCAGGGTCCTAGCACTTAAGCCAGGTGTTCGTAACCCAGCAGTGGACTTCTGGTGGAACTTAATGTATCCACAACTACTAAACTCTATTCCCAGAGCTTCTGATTCCATATAGCTTGGATGGGGCCCAGGAATGTGCATTTTTGATATGCTGCACAAGTATCCTATCTCACTGCTGTCCTGACTCCTCCTCTAAGTTGAGAGCCATTATGCTTGAACCAATGATCCATGAACACTTTGAAAATGAATATGCTTCCCCACCATCAATGAGCAGATTAAAGAGTCTCAGAACTGGGGCGCCTGGGTAGCTCAGTCAGTTAAGCATCTGACTTTTGATTTTGGTTCAGGTCATGATTTCACAATCATGAGATCATGCCCCAGGTTGGGCAGATCAAGCCCCGCGTTGGGCTCTGCACTGACAGCACAGGGCCTGCTTGGGATTCTCTCCCTCACTCTCCCTCTGCCCATCCCCTGTTCACACACTCTCTCAAAATAAATAAATAAACTTAATATTTTAAAAAAAAGAGTCTCAGTACTAATACCTGGACCAAGCAAAAGCAGAAATTAGATTATTGCCAGTTTTTTTCCCTTCCATGAAAATCCCCTGCACAAACTCTTCTTAGAGCCACATATGAAAAGGCTCCAAGCACCACCATACAACCAGACACAAGAAAATTTGGGGAAAAAATGAGATAGAGAAAGCATTAGACCCGTATCCATAAAAATTGAGAACTAGAAGAAAGCTGCAAGTCATCTTGCCCATTGTTTCCAAAGGAATAATACATAACCCAGATTGGATAAATGGCTATTAAGGAGGAGGAGGATTTCAAAACCTCGTCACTTACTTCTTCAAAATCTAGTAACTCTCCAGCACAGGCAATCCTTTTGTATCCCTAACTGAAATCATGCCTGCTCGGCTTCATTCCATTTCTGTCCTTTGTTAAAAGAGAAAAATGACCCAGCTCCTTCCACATAAAAATCTTCCGGAAACTTTAAGAAAAGAGGGGGAGGGCCAGCGACTCAGAGCACACACATGCTTAAGGAAAACACAGCCTCAGCTGGGATCAAAGGCAGACCTGACAACTGGACAGGATTTGAAGTTGAAGGGTGTTTACAACTGATAACTTTTGAGTTACACTTCATTGAGACTCAGCAGATCTGGCATAAAACTTCAAATTACTCTTCTCCAATTCTATCTCACTGTAGACTTCCCTCCTTTAGAGAAAGTTTAATACAAATCCCAGCTCTCAAGTACCCATTTCTCCATCAATACTCTCAACCCCTATTTCTACTGGCTTTCATTTCAGCTTCTAACCATATTCTAAACATATTTTTAACCAGGTCTCTCCTGAATTAAAGGCTTTCATGAGCACTACCTATTGCATATATGTACTTCCCCTTCTCACTTGTGCTCTTCACTCCTAAATAGGCTACATTTCTACTTCTTTTTCAACATTTTATTATTCCTAATTTCAATTTATCTTTAAAGAGATCACAAACCTCCTGATTATTTCCTGTTCAAGAATTCCATGTTTATCCCCACTATATTGATGTCATTAAATTCTTTTCATTCATGTATTCATTTAGTATTCAGTGCATACCTTACACTATACTAAAGAGTGTGTGTAAAAGAAATAAGGAGCAAGACCCTTGACCATAAGAAATAAAGACATACACAGGCACCTGGGTGGCTCAGTTGGTTAAGCATCTGACGCTGGCTCAGGCCATGATCTTGCAATTCGTGAGTTCAAGCCTCACACTGGGCTCTGTGCTGACAGTTCAGAGCCTGGAGCTTGCTAGGGATTCTGTGTCTTCCTCTCTCTCTGTTCTTCCCCCCACTCACACTCTGTCTTTCTGTCTCTCTCTCTCAAAAATAAAGATTTTAAAAGATTAAAAAATTAAAAGAAAGAAAGACATACAGAGGCACCTGGGTGGCTTAGTTGGTTAAGCTTCTGACTAGCTCAGGTCATGATCTCAGGGTTCATGGGTTCAAGCCCTGCCTTGGGCTCTGTGGTGACAGCTCAGAGCCCGGAGCCGCTTCAGATTCTGTGTCTCCCTCTCTCTCTGCCCCTTCCCCTCTTGTGCTCTGTTTCTATCTCTCTCAAAAATAAATAAACATTAAAATTTTTCAAAAAAAAGAGGGGCACCTGGATGGCTCAGTTGGTTAGGCGTCCAACTTCAGCTCAGGTCATAATCTCATGGTTCGTGAGTTCAAGCCCCGGGTTGGACTCTGTGCTGACAGCTCAGAGCCTGGAGCCTGCTCCAGATTCTGTGTCTCCCTCTCTCTTTGCCCCTCCCCCACTCATGCTCTGTCTCTGTCTCAAAAATAAGTAAAACATTAAAAATTTAAAAAAAAAGAAGAGAAAGAAATGAAATGAAGACAGACATAAGAGAACAATTAGAGATTGGTCCCAAGATATGCGGCTACTCAGCAGCAAGCTATCTGAGGTAAGAGCTCCATAAAGGACTCTGTCACCACCTTCTTTGCCCCTACCACCCACTCTCAAAGGCCTATGTCTTTTGGTCTTCAAATTTTACTCCGAGTTAGTTATCTGTGAATCACAAGCTTTCTCACTGCTACCATGATTACCCACAGCCAACGCCCATTAGAGCAGCTAACAAAGCTTTATACATAAAGTCCTAGATGGACTGCTACAGGGTAGGCTTTTAGAGTCATCTTAGGTCGAGTCTCAAATAACAAGTGGTGGGTGGTCAGGCATCTGTTGGGTTCTAGGCACACAAAGACAGCAACTACTTTAGGGTGCTAAAAAGAGACGGAAGCACTCTTGCTCTCTCAGACTATTCAAGAGTCATTCAACTTCAGCTAAGTATTCCCTTCATTCACAGCTCTAGGACAAACAAAGCCATTTAAAGCAGTTGGAAACACTGAATTCCTATTTGAAACAGGGATGTTTAATGGTGATGCCACAGGGATACTCTTTTTCACTGTTTTCCTAGAGAGTTTTTTCTCCTCTCTTGCCTCAGGACTCACAGTTCAAGCATCTCAACCTCTGTGAAGTCTTTCCTAATTGCCCTAAGCTGACTTAGGTTCCCTCCCCTGTGCTGCCCTTAACATCTTTAGGCTTACTTCTAGGACAGCACTCAACATACCATGTTGTAATTATTTGTTTGTATGTCTGACTAGCCACAAGCTCTTTAAAAAAATTTTTTTAAGTAGGCTTCCTGTCCAACACATGACTTGAACTCACAACCCTAAGCTGAGATCAAGAGTCCCTTAATGTACTGAGCCACACAGGTGCCCCTAGTCACAAACTCTTTGATGGTAAGGATATTTTATTCGTCACTGATTCCACCCATAAGAGGCACACAATAAACATTTGTTGAATGCATTGGTGATGAGTGATGAGTGACATGGGAAGTTTTAAAGAATACTGACTGTACCTTCTGGATTCCAGACCAAAATTATAGCAAGTATTAACAGTGAAGAACAAACTCCCATCATACACTTCTACTAACTATACCATTCTTGGTCAGAAAAAGAGGCTAAAGATATGAGAAGATTGCTCTAATGGTGGTGGTCACTGTCAAGTTATCAGCCAGGAATAAGAGAGCTTGCAGCATTAAGAATGATCCACCATAATAAGTGAGGGAACACTGTCAAATCTAAGACAGTTTCTACGTTCCAGGCACATTCTCCTACCTCTGGAGAATATGAACAATGAACTCTTATTAGAGTCCTAATATAGGTCACTCTCTCCACTGCCATGGAACCTTGTGGCCAATTTCAACTGAAATTGAAACATCCTGCTGAAACAGACAGGAAAGCTGTTCTCCTTCTGACCAAATCCAAGTAAGGTTCTGCTAAAGGACAAAGATCTGAACTAAGTCCTCCCACAATCCTGCCATGTTGTATGTTAGCACTCTAAATCATTCCTCATTGGCTTTACTCATCTCTGATGAGATACAGGCAAGGCAATAAAATGCTGCTTGTCTCAAACGCCTCTTCCCATAGCAATCCTGTACCACACAAGGCTACTGTGTTTACAGGCTGCTAATATGACACAAAAGTCCAATCTGATCCTGTGGGAACAAAGCCCCAGATTCCTTCAGGGATTAAATGAATTGTCTACTTTTGTATTCCCAAAGTTGTAGAGGCTCAAAAAGTTGAAGAAAATATAAAGCCAACACTCCGACAAATGAGGGGATGGAAAGGGACTTGGCCTCTGAGGAACCTCTGTGGCAGGGTGGGATGTGGCTCTTGGCAGAGAGCAAATGAGATAGGCAATCTTCAAGGACAAACCAGGAGGTCTGTTTTGTTGGCAGATACCTGGCTCCTTTAATGTTACCATTCCTAAGAAGCCAAGAGGCTCCAGTTAAATTAATTTAGGTTTCTAGAAAAGGCAAATAAATTTGTTTTCACCCCAGGCAGAAGTATTTATCAAGCCAATTCCTCAAACTAGGTATTCATTCTGCTACTATTGTCTTGTAATAACCTCAGCAGTGACACTAACACCTACAGCTACATTAGTCACATCTCAGCCCTTCAGAGAATATGTGGTCCCACTACCCTCTTCGAAGATGGAAAACGGAGTCATCACTCATGAACTGGCTTCCCCAAGCACAGACTTAGTTTGTATTGAGGCCACAACTGAATCCAGCTTGCCTTCCTCCTATTCCTCTTCATGGAGAAATCTCAGCATGCCCACTGCTGCTACTCATTTTCGTTTCTCCTAAAACCAAATCATTGTTTTCCTGAGGGGCAGAAATGGGACACACTGGATCCTTCAGAGACAACAAGAGCGTCTAGTTCTCCTCTTTCCTAAGAAAGAGGAAGGTGAAAGAGGAACATGGAGCAGTGGAAGGGAGGATTGGAAAGGGGTGCCCCCATACTAGGACTCACCTTGGAGCTGAGGTCTTCTCGCCGGTTTCCTGCCTTACTCCTGCGTAATTTGATGGATGGGGATCGCAGTAGGTTCTTGATCCGGCTGGTAATAGTTGACCCTTCCACAGCCATCATGATGAGGAGCCCCAGGGGACAGTTCCTGGCCCAATCTTGTGACTTGTCTCAAAAGCAGCACTGCCTTCCCACTCCACAGGTCCTTCCAGTATGCCCTCCCACTGACCTGAGATGGCAGAGGCCACCTTACCTTCTGCCTAGTCGTGTCTGCAGCTATTATGTCAAGGTATTACCCTCTCCCTCCTCCTCATACCTGCCTTCAAGCACTGCGCTGTTTCTTACATCTGAAGGACAAACCCATGAAAAAGGGGGGGTGGGGGTGGCGGAAGAAAGCCTGAGCTGCAAAGAAATGCCAGGCCCACGCCTGCCTGAGGCGTTGAGCGGGAGGGATGGGATTGGTCCTAGAAGGGCTAGTGGTTGGTCTGGTCCCCGTTAATTCCCAACTGTTCCCATGGCAACTGCAGTGTCTAAAGAAGGAGATCGCCAAGGCCACTGAGGAGTCCCGTCGGGGGTTTTGGACACCAAAGCTGGCGGCCGCGGGGACTCTCGGCGCGGCGGGGCTCGCTGTGGCCCGGCAACCGGTTCTGCCACGGGAGCCTCCCTCCCCCACCCCCGACCCTTGGCCCTCCGCAGGAGACCTGGACCCTTCTCTTTCACTTCCCTTAGCAGCCTAAGCTACTCGCCAGCGCCCCCCCTCGGGCCCAGCCTCACCAGCCCCAGGGCGCGGGGGCCACCCCGCTTACAGCGCCCTCAGGCATCGCGCTCGGCGATTTCAGCTCCGCGGCGGCAGCAGCAGCAGCAGCTATGGTGGCACGAGCGGCTCAAAACGCGAACTACCGCTTGGGCCAAGCTACGGGCTGGTGAGGCGGAGTCGAGGCGAGGGGGTGCGGTCTGTATCCAGGAGGGCGTTCTGAGAGTAGGCCAGTAAGGCTTATGGGGGCGGAGCCAATGAAGGGGCCTAGGAAGAAAAGATAGGACTCGAGAACTAAGGGTTCCGCACAGTATAGTCTCGGGTATCGCTCCTGAAGGAAGGTCAACAGAACGTGGCTTCAGAAGTGAGAGAACCAGCCTTTTATGGTATTACCAGGCCTCGTCCTCCAGAGAACTGCACTTCCCAGAGCCCCAACAAGACGGTAACCACGTCTCCATGGTGCTGCGGTTGCATTTGATAGGCCCGAGAAACCTTAGCCAAAACTAACTCCTTGCTCAAAATTACAAGACTGAGGTACAGCTTTAAGGCTCTGCTCCCATCGACCCCAAGCACTGGGATTTAAAGCGATTAGAATCGTTTCTGCTCCTCGCCTTCCGGCGTGTTGACCTATGACTCTTCTGAATAACAATTAAGATCGCTAAGAAGTGTTTTGAACTGGGCAACCTGATTGGCCAAGATCGAAAAAGGGGCGGGAGAGGATAGCAATAAACTGAGCTTGAAGTATGCGAGGGAAGGGAGAGAGACAAGTTTATGTGCCTGTGAGACATTTTCCTTTAGGCTCCAAAGTCTCACCATGCTTTCTCACCTGGAGTTAACAAAGACTTTCTTGCTCCAGATCTTTTATTTGTTCATGTCCAAATTTACTCCTTTTCCCTAGTACTGTTGCTTTGGCGAGGTCAGTCAAGCTTGGCATTAGATTTAGTGGTATATAGTTTTTCGAGCTCATCTTGTGGGTGAGGAGTGGCGCGCGCACACAAATACTCGTATTATTCCATAGGGTCTCAACCTGAGTTTATTTTCTAGTGAGCTTTTGGCCTCATTGCTACTTCAATAAATTACCTACGTAAAGGTTAGTATAAGCCAAAAGACTTGGGTCCCAGAAAAACTGTACACCGATGTATAGGTCTCACCCTATCCAAATCTTTGGAACCCCTAGGGGAGATAACCTGTTAGCAAAAGGATTAGGACCCTTAAACCCATTCCTTGTACAGTCATTTGGCAAGGTATGCACTTGTGTGTATGGTAGCCATGTACTTAAAAACGAGATCTGCAAAGCTCACAAGTTGAAACAAGTCAGTAAAGTCACTTAGATGACATGAGGCTTCCTACCCTTCTACCGCACACAAAATGGGACTTTCACATTTATTTTTCGTATCTGAAGGAAAGAAGCAAGGGTCAGCCACCAAAAGTATTACACGGGGAGTTGATTTCCTTCAGTTTCTTGCCACCCTTTTACCTCCAAGGGGGTAGGAGTCAATGTAACACTAATAAACAGTGCCACCTGCTGTCCTTATTTGTGTGCTACATGCCCCAGCAACTGCTGCCTCCACCCTAATTCTCTCCAGAATATTTTTGTTTATTGGTTTTCTCACATCACTGTGACCAGGTGAATGGGTTTACAAAGTGTCATTGATCATATCCTGTCCAAGAGTACGCTGGTTTATCCCCTTAGAGAAAATGTTCCCCAAATTACTCACATCTGAAGCTCAAGCTGTAATGGCAAATCCAAGTTCCTTTCAGTCTAAATGATCAAGGTGATAAAACTGAGAATAGTGTAATCAAATATTCTAAATCTAGAATCTGGGTACTTCTGGTCTAAAGCCCAAGCCACATATTATTAATTCTTTACCATTTAGTACATTTACTGTCTATGTACTCTGCAGCTTCTGAATTGTCACTATGGGAATAGGATGTAGGCTGTTCCCATGCTTCGTTAATTAATTCCTCAGAAAATAGTCCCAGGTCCAGTGTGAATAAAAGCAATCTTCCCTTTTCTCCAAACTAAATTGCCAACCCACCCTCCTAATGCACCTAACCTTTATATTAAGTATTTCACCATCCATAAACTATTTCACTTTTTATTCTGCTTGTGTATGTCCCAAACATACATGGTTGTCAGGTTTTAAAATTCTGTCTGGGAATAGATGTATAGAATTGTCTGTTCTGCACCACTCATTAGATCAGGTTTTAAAATTCGCCCTAGGCTTAACATGCAAAAGGTGCAATTATAAGAACCTGGAAAACTAACAGGCTGGAGTAAATATTTGCTCATCAATTCAAATATTTATTGAGCACCTTTACATGCAAGGCACTGTGGGACAACTGAGATCAATGCTTGCAGCTGGAAACAGAAGGGATCTCAAAAACCATGCTTCCAAGACTGCCTTCTTATTTAACAATATCTCTTCTAATAGCAGTTTGTAAGGATAGAAGAATTGAGTAGAGCTTAGATTTGTCTCAAAATCCCCAACTCATTCTGTGGTTAAGCCTCCTCACCCTCCATCACATAATTACTCAATGCTTATATATCTCTGTAGAGCAGTCCAGTCAGTTATGCCTCCAGTTCCAAAGCTGTATATATCAAATTACCCCCCTCTGAGATTCAAAAATGCATTTTTGACTGATCTTTTCTTCTCTCCAAATGGCAGTGAGTCTTGTATACCTCAGCTTTAATTTTCTCTGTGTCCAGCCATTCATATTTGTGTAAACTTTCATTAGAGGTAATAACAAAAACATGAAGTATTGATGCCCTTACAAGCACTTTCTTCAAAATCCACCATTTTGTGCAAGAAATGTACTCAGATTTTTGGTTATCCATCATTCTCTACAGAAGTACCTGAAAGTGTGGCCTACTCTGTACATTGTTTTTTAATCTGGGCATGAGGAACAAGGATTATCACCATTTTTCAGACCCATCTTCAAAGTGCATTTACCTCTCAATTCACCTGATCCCATTCCATTTTAATATCTTAACCATTATAATTAGAAGAGGGAAAAAACTGTACTATGTGCTCTTAGAGTAGTTCAATGTCTAAAGGACTCTAGTAAATTTTTTTGTAAATCCTGACACTAGTTAACATATATCTTGCTTTAAGAACATTTTTGTCCTTAGCCCCTGAGACTGTGTAGCCCGAGACTGTGTTTATGTCCTCTTACTCTCTAAGGTAACAGATATATGTACCTTGCGCACACTGATATTAAAGGCTAGCCTTTCCTCACTGTTGAATGACTTCTTGAGACAAACATCTGCTGTCAGTTTGTGGAAATTTGTGAAATCTCCATGTAAAACACACTACAAGGATTAGCAAAAATCTCCCCAAATGGCAGATCAGAAACTTTGAAAACAGTAAGGAATTCCTATGATAAAACTACTTCAGTCGAGCCTCTCTCAAATGACTCTGGGCCATTAGATTCCTCTACTCCAACTCAGCACAAACCTCCCAACACCAAGTCCTTTCATTATTATAACTGATTTATCTCGTTTATACATTCTGCCTTCCACTCACCAAACCTCTTCTGTTCTTGTTTCTAAAAAAATAGTCATTTTTCAAAAGCAGAAAAGGAAAGATATATATTTAATATATAAAAGAAAAGGCTAAATCTGACATAATTATATTCTTAAAAACATTCCATTTATTTACAGATGTATAAAAAGGCGAATTATTGGTCTACTGAGATCATGCTTCTTATAGTGTTAGGGTGAGAGCTCACTATCCTCCCAATTCCTCAACTCCTCTCACTCAACTACATCTTTCATAATCACACATGTCATTTTCATAGATCAGTTTCTCTTGGGGGTAAGGTTAAAGGGTAGGAGTTTGGGGAGACTGGAGATTTCTGTCAAGACTGCAGGACTGTTCTGAAGACAGAGTCCTCCTTCAAATTAGCCTTCACAACTTACTCATTCTAAGAGGTCTTGAAAACACCATTATCCTGGGAGTTTGTAATGACATCTGCAGCCTTCTTACAGACCTGGAATCATCTCTCATTTCCATCTTTGTACATCTCATAAACACAGTCAAATATCTTCACATCAAGAACTAATTATTACCCCTTTATTTTTTTTCTAAAAAGGGAAGTGTTCAGAAGCAGAATGGTCCTTCTTTTCCTGAGGATTATTCACTTGCCTTCTCCTTGCTGACCCTCAAAAGCCTTAGCAAGAGCCTTGGGAAGTCAGGAGGAAATGTGAGGACAAGACAAGCAAGTTAATAATGGGAAACTGCTATACCTGGATTAAAATACTAGATCTCCAAGGTCAATTATTAGCAGGGGAGACAGGTGCTGGACTCCTTGGCTAAGGCATTGAATGAACTCTGCTGGGTAAAGAGTAGTGGGAGGAAGAATGAGAAGCTAAGGGGCACTCATTACCTACTTCAAGCTTCTTCAGTAACCTTTAGAGGAGGGAAGGCTGAATGCTGAGGAGCATGTCTAGAAAGGCAAGTAGCACAATAACAACAAAGAATTTGCTCCCACTGCAATTTGCAGAGGAAAATTTTCCACCCTTTTCAATCTAATTACCAGAGTTACTAGAAAGGGAACCAACCATGGAAGTACTAATTCACTGGCTAGAAATATTCCAAAGCTGGCCTCAACAACCTACATCTGAAGATCTGCTGAGTGGGATTTGGCATAAAGAAGGCAAGGGGGATGTAGAAGAAACAGCATCACCTAGGCACAGCCCAGGCACTGGAAGCTCTTGTGTTAGTGTTTCACAACACAAGCAAATCCTGTCAATGAAGACAGAACAGGGGTTACATTCCAAAATATAATTATTTAAGAAAGGCAAAATGCAGCAGCTAAATCCCAATCTATACATTTTCAGAATAGTGATTCTTGCCCCCAGGAGTTTCTAAGAGACCCCTCA